TGTATAGGACACATGCACAGTATTCTCTATAGTGTCCTCATCGTGTTCAACTTGGACATGATACTTAGTAAGGAGTCATGCCATGTCAGCAATTTTGTGTGTCTCATGTTATTTGCGTGGTAAAATCGACCAACATTACTTGTACAGGTGATGAAGGCTATGTTCTCTGATTTTCTAGCAGCCTCAACAATGGATGAGTTTCTGACTCACATCATATTATGCTTGTCTGATAAGATACTAGCTAAATTCTTTGGATATATTTTATCACTTTTAGAATTAGAAACCGATAATAGTAGATCTGGTCAAACCAGTTCACAGGTATGTTGATAATATATGTGTGTATTGTATTGCTAAATTTCATCTTCTAAATAAAATCTATTTATTCATAGGCTGGAGTTGCTGGAGGGAGTAGCAGCGACATGCCGAGGAGGGATGTTGATGAGGACAATGACTCGTGATTATCTATAGTGAGTTTTTATTTGTATATTGATTACTAATATTTCTTCCTTAAGTTTTTTCTTCTTTCAAACTTTAGATCAAATCTTAACTCTTGCAAAGTAAAAAAAATTATTTTGATGTGAGTGTTGATTATACAAACTCCATAATCTCTATAGTTAACCCGTGATAATAATGAAGATTAAACATAAAATGATTTTTTTTTGAGAAAAAAACAAGGGATATACCCTGTTCATAATATTAATGAAAAATATATATACAAAAAAGGATACGAATTGTATCCAAAATTGGAAGATAGAAATTATGAAATTTCAATACTAGTGATGTATGACTTTCTTCTTCCAAACATCTATGAAGGTGAAGAGAGAGCCTTGTCGTCATTCACCGTTGACATGGATATAAGGAGGAACCAAAACCAGCCATACATATAGTAGCGAGAGAAAATAATTTCTATAACCCAATGAAACAAAATTATAAAACCCACTAAGTTCTTTGTTTTTACGGGTAAAACAAAAGATGTTTGACTACTTCATTCCTAGGCTGTTAGATACTTCTGCAGATAGGTTGCTCCTTAAGCTTCGCTGCTATCTTCAGTGCCTTAGAGCCACTTCCCATGCATGCCCAGTCATGCAAGTCCGATATTGTCTGGTTAATAATTGACTTATAGGAGAAAACCGTATGTTCAAAGATGATATTGTTTCTCATTGTCCATAAACTCCAGCTGGCAGATGCAAAAATAACACGTCATAGATTCCCTAAAATACCTTGACGATTTTCTAGAGATATCATTAAACATAAAATGACTTAGAAATGTTAACGTAGAAAATGACTTAGAAAGGCACGTCCCAAGTTCATGTTCTATGCCATGATTACCAAATCGAAGGGAATAAAAAATAAAAATTAGACCGGTTGGTATGTGAATTGAACTTAAATTAGGCAATTGTCTACTTTCTAAGATGTTGGTTGATAAGCATTATCTAGGATGAAGTTCTAGCAATTTTCACAATTTGTGCTATTAGTGAACTCTTTAAAAGTCCACCTAGGTCTCTTAGAAACTTTATCTAGGATGCGTATCCATATTTGTGTCCTGTGTTCGCACATGTGTTTGTATCCGTACCCGCACAAATATCCATGGTTGAATATAAATATAAACTTAGGATTTTTGGAGAAAACCTATAAATTGAGATTAGGAATTTGCGAGAAGGCGGGAAGAATTTGTGAGAAGAGTATGACAATTTGAATTTGTCGGCTCTTCTACTTTATAATAATTAAAAAGGACATAAAAATAAATTTCCTTGAAAGAGCAATTAAAATATTAGCATTTAT